ACTTACGTTAATCCTATTATTATTATTATTATTGTAAAAAAATACGTCAACTAGCATGAGTAAAAAAAAAATAGTCTTTGAAGCTTTTATCTTTGATAGGTGTTGCTAACTTCGATTTATGCAAATAAAAAAATTCATGTTTCACATTAATTAAAACAAAACTCATTTCTTTTGCAAAGAAAACAAACTAATTAAATTAAAAAAAATGTTGACCAAAAACAAAAACCCTGATACTGACCAAAACTTAAAAACTAAACAAAATAAGCAGTGCATTTTGTTGATCAAAAGATTTAAAATAAAAGGTAAAAAAACTGTCCACATTCCAGAATGGCCACAACTTCAGAACTGCAATCACCAGATTTTACTTTTAATTCATAACAGTATGATAGCTTGAAGTTTTCACCAACGTGAATTTCAAAACAAAGCTTTTAGCTTAAAGTAGCAGAAACACCAAGAATTCAGGTTGCAATCTTGATATCTATTTTTCCCTTGACTCCAAAAAGTAATTTCAAGAACATATTATGAACACATATGGTAATATACCTAAGATTGGAGAAATCTCAACACTTTCTCCTTTGGTTTATTCCTTAAGCACTAACTTCCTACAGTTCCCTGCATATAATATATTTACTTAAAAGCAAAAGCTTTTGCTTCAGATCCTATTTTCTTACTGAAAGCCAATAACTTCCATCAGCATATATTCCTCACCATGTCATGTCTGACCAATTGCTTTTGCCTGAAAAATATACAAAAACACTCACTTGAGAAATGATATCTGATACATAGAAAAACACAGCCANTATTCTAATTAATCAACTAAAATTCAATAAATATATAAATATGTGATAATGTAAACAAAAATTTCAACTAAAGAACTTTGAAAAAAATTATCAAGACAATTTAAAAAATATAAATATAAAAAATATAAAATAAAGTCTATCATATAGCAAAAATAGCATGAAAATATACTTAAGTTAGTATTTTCTAGAATAGCATATTATAGGGTATATTAAGAATAACAAAGTATGTTAACAGTTCGAATAGGAATTCAATTTTCACATGTAACTAAGACTTGGATGTTTATGACCAAAGCTTTATAAAAAATTAAAAAATCATATAAGTATTGTAAATATACATCTTAGATTCAATATATAATTAAGAGTTTGATTACTTTTTGGTGCGTTCTTTAAGCTATCTTAGCAGAGTGTTTCTAATTGATTTTTCAACTTCTTTGCCTTTCTTGAAATATCCAAAAAAAGTGAGTCAAAAGTACGTATGATATATTTTTCTTTTTCTTATCTTTGTGTCTTGTGAAGCTTGCAAAACATTTTTCTCCCTTTTTTTGTCAAAAAATTAAAAAGAAAAGCTAAAAAAATTTGTCACTAATTACTTTTTAACTAGATATAATAAATAAATAAATAAAAACACAAACTTATGCTAGACGAGAAAACAATGCTCGAGATGTTTTCATTTTAGTTTATTCGTCATCAGCCCATCGAAAAAAATAGATTAATAAAAAATATAAATTTGCTAGGAAATATTTCTATATTAAAAATTTGCAAGGGTGCATTTTTTTCTCTCAAATTTCTCACTATCGTCACATGATTATTACAAATGAATTAAATGATCTTTTGAAATAACATAAGTTTGGTTAGGATACCTTTAAAATGTTTATCTTTTAAAAGATTTTTTGAATTTAAAATATTTCAAATAAATTCATGAATTTCTAAGATTTAAAATAATTTAACAAATTTTTAGAAAACATTTAAATATTGCAAGCTTGTGGAAAAGTAATAAGATTCAGATGAGAAATAGTATAATTCCTGAATGAATTTTTAAATAAGAAATGTGTTTTCACTTGACAGAGATGGGAGTAATGATTTGGAAGATAGTAATTGAATGAATTTGAGGAGATTTAAGGGCGAATTTTTTGTTGTTTATTTGAGTGGATTTTGAGGTAATTGAGAGTGGATTTAGAAGTAAAGTTTCTAAGAATTAGTGTAGGATTTGATTGATCTGATAGATAAAAAAATTGTTTAATAAGTAGAAATTAAAGATTACCAAAATGCCCCTAGTTATTAAAATAATATAAAATGATAATGGTTAATGTTATATTTAGGTTTAATACATCATTTGGTCCCTACTTTTAGGAGTTTGGTTCAAAGTAATCCTACTTTTAAAAAAGTTCAGTAAGACCCCATATTTCGTTAAAAAATGTTCAATCTGGTCCTTTTCGTTCACACCGTTAAAAACATAACGGTGCAAATGTCATAGTGGCATATCATAAGCACGTGGCACACATTAATAGGTCGACTTAAATGTTTTTTTAATTTTAAAAAAAAAGTCTCTACCACGTGATCATCACCATCTCCAGACAAATCCTAATTTCTCTCCACGAAACCCTAGCCGCCGCACCATCCAGCGCCATCACCGCCATCCTCGACAGCAGTCGTCCTCTCCAACGCATCACACGCCACCACCAAAGCTATGCGACGAGAACGCGAGAAACCCTAGGTCTCCACGGTTTGCTTGCAGGTCTGATTGTGGTTGTAGGTGGAGGCAAGCAGCAACGCGATTAGTGGTGGAGAAGAGTGATGATTCGTGATATGCAACAATTGATGATTTGGGTGGTGGTTAGTGGTGGACGATTCTGTGGTGGAGATTGGATGACAGTGTTGCGGGCGCGACAACGATTTGGTTGGTGCGAGGGTTAAAATGGTGAAGATTAGTGGTCGCGGCATAGCAAGGGATCGCGTTGGGTGGTGGCGCTAGAACGAAGGTGATGGAGGTGCAACAGAAGGGAAAAGACGCTTTGGTGGTAGCGCGTGATGTGTTGGAGAGGACAATTGCTGGCGAGGATGGCAGTGACAACGCTGGATGGTGCGACAGCTAAGGTTTCTTGGAGAGAAATTAGGGTTTGTTTGGAGATGGTGATGATGAATTGGCATTTGCACTGTTATGATTTTAACGGCGTGAGTGAAAAGAATCGGATTGAACATTTTTTAACGAAATATGGGGTCTTACTGAACTTTTTTAAAAGGTAGGATTACTTTGAACCAAACCCCTAAAATTAGGGAACAAATGATGTATTAAACCTTATATTTAATTGTATAAATATTTATAAAGAGTAAAAAATTAATGATTAAAGTAAATTTAAAAAATGAAAGAAATTATAAATTAGTAAAATAATTTTTTTTAAATGTAATATTTGTTTGTAATAATGTTAAAGTATTTATTATAATTTTTAAATATATGAAAAATCAAACTTGAAGTAACTAAGAAAAAAAACCTTATTGCAGCAGCGGTGCACCACTGCTCCTGCTTCACCCCGCAGAACAACGGGGCAAAAGGGCCCAAAAAACACATAAAATAAAACAAGATGGAATGCAAATCTCCCATTTTTATATCACTCCAAGCATGGCTTAGTTCTCACTTTTCACTCACAAACACTAATCTCTTTTCTGCAATATTATTTCCTCTGCCTTGGTACCAAAGAAAGGACAAATTAAAAAATTGACCTCCGCATCCGACAGCCAGTGGAGGTGGTGGTTGTAGCAGCATCCTTGGGCGAGGGAAGACGACATTTGTTGTCTCTACGGAGAACAATGGAGGAAGCGGCAAGCTCCGGCAGGGGCAAGGGCTGAGGTGTGCCGGGGGAAGGGAAGGGTGGTGAATCATCAGTATGCCACCTGGCGTTGTTCTCGCCATGGCAGGCGTGTTTCTTGGATGAACTACCGAATAGCCACACCTTCCGACGGTGGTCGGCGCAGGCGGCTGAGGAAGATGAGTGAAGCTTGCTGGAACCGAATAACGTACCCCAGAACTGAATCCAAGCATACACCATGCTGCAACGAAGGCCTGGAACCGAATCCCACAAAATTGTAACCGATTACTCAGCTCAGAACCGAATACAACGTTTAGCTCAATTTCTTCTGCGCAGTGAAACCAGATACAACATTTTTGGAACCGATTATACAGTTTGGAATCGAATAGCGTAATTTTTTAGGTGATATACGAAGGGCAAACATAACAATGCCTTCAATTCACCCCAAATCATCTCATAAGAGCGAGTGATAGAAAAATGGGATATCTCACAAATCCGTTTGATTCCGTCTTCGCAAATCCTCAAATATGAAAACAGTTTTGCCTTCCATTCCTCGCTCCCGAAAATACATAAACAGTAACTCACCCTCAAAGTGAACATCTCAAATATTTGTCCTTTATACAGTAATATCTCCTTGTTCATGCTCAAATTTAAATAGTTAACTTAAAATTATAATATATCTCCTTGTTCATGTTCAAATTTAAATAGTTAACTTAAAATTATAATAGTCATTATCTAATAGCATTTAATATGGAAATTCTTTCATTTGATTTGATGAATTTAAAAATTCATTAGAACATCATTAATGCTTTGTTAGACAGTGGACAAAATTAGTTTTTCAATGGAATTGGTTGAGGTTATCTTTGTATCGACCTTTTCACCGAAGTCAATTAAATTCTCTCTTTCAACATTGACCAAAGCAATATTATTTAGAAAATTTCTCCAATCAAAATTAAAAAAAAAAATCATAACTTCGAAAAAAAAACAATAACAATAATGCTATCATTAAAAGATAATCGTAAGAGGTGTCTAGTTAATATTAATTGAAAAATAACCTTAACACCAACTAAAAATTTACTTACGTTAATCCTATTATTATTATTATTATTGTAAAAAAATACGTCAACTAGCATGAGTAAAAAAAAAATAGTCTTTGAAGCTTTTATCTTTGATAGGTGTTGCTAACTTCGATTTATGCAAATAAAAAAATTCATGTTTCACATTAATTAAAACAAAACTCATTTCTTTTGCAAAGAAAACAAACTAATTAAATTAAAAATAATGTTGACCAAAAACAAAAACCCTGATACTGACCAAAACTTAAAAACTAAACAAAATAAGCAGTGCATTTTGTTGATCAAAAGATTTAAAATAAAAGGTAAAAAAACTGTCCACATTCCAGAATGGCCACAACTTCAGAACTGCAATCACCAGATTTTACTTTTAATTCATAACAGTATGATAGCTTGAAGTTTTCACCAACGTGAATTTCAAAACAAAGCTTTTAGCTTAAAGTAGCAGAAACACCAAGAATTCAGGTTGCAATCTTGATATCTATTTTTCCCTTGACTCCAAAAAGTAATTTCAAGAACATATTATGAACACATATGGTAATATACCTAAGATTGGAGAAATCTCAACACTTTCTCCTTTGGTTTATTCCTTAAGCACTAACTTCCTACAGTTCCCTGCATATAATATATTTACTTAAAAGCAAAAGCTTTTGCTTCAGATCCTATTTTCTTACTGAAAGCCAATAACTTCCATCAGCATATATTCCTCACCATGTCATGTCTGACCAATTGCTTTTGCCTGAAAAATATACAAAAACACTCACTTGAGAAATGATATCTGATACATAGAAAAACACAGCCAGTAGAGTAAAAAGTACTGTCTTTCAATCATTAACCACCGTGAATGAACTAGTTAAATTCTGCAAAAGACTATCTTAAAGTTATAGTAATGCTCATCTTTAATTGGTTGATCAACTTTTAATATACTAACATCAGTGTATTTTATTAAATTAAAACTTAATTATTGCAATGTATTATTTTACATAATATGTATATTATTTTTAAATTAAATATAATTGTTAATACTTATTCATTTCTCTATTGTTGGGTTTTATTTCTCATATTATTTAAAACATTTAAAATTAAAATTAAGAAAATTTGAAAGATATCTGAAAGGAATAAGAAAAGAAAATAAATAAAATGATATATAGTAAGAATTTATTAGGTAGGAGTGGAATTGTGATAGCTACACCTATCACTGTTGACTTATAAGACAAGAGACACAGACGTTGGCCCCAACAATTAGTCCTTGCATTTCCATGTTCCTAAACAGTCACTTATCTTTGCTTTCATTCCTTCCCTCTTTCCCACCTCATTTCACTTTCTTGCCATTCTTCTACGCACTAACACATATTTGTAAAATTCGGACCATTTCAACCAATTCAACTGTAATTTTTTTTGGCTTTCTTTCATTTCTCTCTCTCGGAGATCCCACATTAACTAAAACAGATTGACATTTTTCTAAAAAATTTCACTAGACTTACATTCAAACTGAAACCCTCTGGTGGAGCATCAAACCATGGGTCATCAGATTCAAAGAAATCAATGTCCGAAATTCCAGGCTTTCTTGGCCATTTCAGAGTAACCGAATCATTTTGTAGCATAGCATCATCTCCATAGTACCTTCCTCTACAGCATCATGTGGCAGAGGCAATATAATAATTCCAGCTTCAGAAACTACACAAGATTCATTGATAGATGAAAAACCCTTTGGAAACCAATTAATATTTAAATAGAGAACTCCTAAAAGAAGCATTCATTACCAGCATCAGTGACATCTGAGTCTCCAGATGCAACTGCTTCTGATGCTTGGCTTAATTGCAATTGTACAAGCTTCTGCTGATGCTTGACGTGGCATATCCTCATCATCAGCAATATCTACGTTACCTCGTGATTCATATTCTTTTCTAATATCTCCAAATTCTTCAACCTCACAAAGATCATTATTCCCAGCACCATTGATTTTCTTATCCGCCCAAGTAACAGTACGGCTAGGTTCTTTTCACCAGCAGATTTAAGGGAGATTTGAGTTTAGTCTCACACGATCTACCCACTTTTTCTACCTGGAATTTCTCTTTAACATTGTCACGATCAAAATTGGAAGTGGAAGCACCACCATTAGCAGTAACTCTACTTGTCTCCCCTTCACATTGCATTTATTTCCTTGTGGAATTATTGTTTTCCTCATCATATGGTCTTTCTGATATGGAAACAGAATGTGCATCTTTCTTTTTAATAGCTAGATTGGAAGAGGATTTGACCACTGCTTCATATGATTTGGATACTTCCTTCTCTTTTTCTGAGGTACTTAATTTAACTCTCTTAAAAGATGAAGACAGATCTTGAATGCTCTCCTCATCTTTCCTGACCATTTTAAGGCCAACCTTTTCTGGTTGCCTGTCTACAGCTGTTGTGTCTGTTTGACCTGGGGATGCTTTTGAAACACTATACCCATCTTATTTTTCTTCACCAGAATTTTCCCATTTTGTTCCAGCTTTTTCTCTCACTTTTCAATGATTCACAAACTGTTTCAGCCATCAACTCAGTCACATGCCTCTTTTTCAATGATACCCCCACACTTGAACTCAACAATGTCCGATAACACACAGCCTACTTTACCTCACAGCTCTAGGACAGGGTATAATCTGGTTTTACAGGTCCAAGGTTGACAATGGACATAAAAATCTGAATAAAAGGCTAAAAACAGGGTCAAAAATAGGTGCTAGGGAAAATTTTCCAAGGTAGCCTATATTTGGCAAGTGCCTTAATTCAAGGAGGGCCTAGATCACATTAAGAATGCACATCAAATGATCAGTTATGAAGAGAAATAATGCAAAGCGTAGAATGTCATTTTCATGAATGCACACACAAGAAAAACTCAAGTTCAAATCTCTCAAGGTTCACTTTTGTCAAAACTGTTCTTTGCAAATGATTCATCATGTAAAAATCACTTAATTCAATGTATGGAACTGTACAAACATGACTAAAAATTATCCACTCAAATTAGACACTCTATCTATCATCTACAAATTAAGAGCTAAGCTAGCAAAATGAGAAATGTGCAAATCTGGAAAAATTAGTAAAAACAGAGGTAAAATGTATTCAAGCAACTTTAAAATGACTAAAGAAAGCTAGAAATCAACTCAAAAATTAAATTCTACAATAAACTCAAAATTTCACTACTCAACCTACAAAAACACTCTAAAACTAGGCTAAACAAGCTAAAAGTAAGAACAGAACTAAAACAGAAAGAATACCAGTAAAGAAACTACCTAAGCAAGTCTTAAATGACTAAAGAAAACTAAAGAACACTTCATGACATCAATTCCATTTGAACCGCACACACAAACAGAATTCCAAGCATTTTACACAGATTCATGTTCATGACTATCTAAGAATTATAGTCTTGTTCTTTGATTTGGACCTTGTAAATACCGAGTTTAACATAAGTGAATTAGCTGATAGAATCATTTTCACTATAATAGTCATGCAGACCTGTGCTTGAGTGTGCATACTTTGGGTAGAAAATGAAGATAATAACATCCTTTTGTCAAAATTGAATATATGATGAACGATTTCCAGTTTTATAAATTCAAACAAAAGTTGCACCGGAAGACTTTTCAGACATATTATAAGAGAAGTGAAATAGAAACAAAATGACAAAGGGTTAAGGCCACAAACTTAGCAGAAAAACAGATGCGGAAGGACTGGCAATGGGTTATTCAACTCTTTCTCTTGCGTGATAGGAGTGTAATAGGTGAGAAATAGTAGCCTTTAAATTTCCTGATCAGAAGGGGGGNAAATAAAAAAATTCATGTTTCACATTAATTAAAACAAAACTCATTTCTTTTGCAAAGAAAACAAACTAATTAAATTAAAAATAATGTTGACCAAAAACAAAAACCCTGATACTGACCAAAACTTAAAAACTAAACAAAATAAGCAGTGCATTTTGTTGATCAAAAGATTTAAAATAAAAGGTAAAAAAACTGTCCACATTCCAGAATGGCCACAACTTCAGAACTGCAATCACCAGATTTTACTTTTAATTCATAACAGTATGATAGCTTGAAGTTTTCACCAACGTGAATTTCAAAACAAAGCTTTTAGCTTAAAGTAGCAGAAACACCAAGAATTCAGGTTGCAATCTTGATATCTATTTTTCCCTTGACTCCAAAAAGTAATTTCAAGAACATATTATGAACACATATGGTAATATACCTAAGATTGGAGAAATCTCAACACTTTCTCCTTTGGTTTATTCCTTAAGCACTAACTTCCTACAGTTCCCTGCATATAATATATTTACTTAAAAGCAAAAGCTTTTGCTTCAGATCCTATTTTCTTACTGAAAGCCAATAACTTCCATCAGCATATATTCCTCACCATGTCATGTCTGACCAATTGCTTTTGCCTGAAAAATATACAAAAACACTCACTTGAGAAATGATATCTGATACATAGAAAAACACAGCCAGTAGAGTAAAAAGTACTGTCTTTCAATCATTAACCACCGTGAATGAACTAGTTAAATTCTGCAAAAGACTATCTTAAAGTTATAGTAATGCTCATCTTTAATTGGTTGATCAACTTTTAATATACTAACATCAGTGTATTTTATTAAATTAAAACTTAATTATTGCAATGTATTATTTTACATAATATGTATATTATTTTTAAATTAAATATAATTGTTAATACTTATTCATTTCTCTATTGTTGGGTTTTATTTCTCATATTATTTAAAACATTTAAAATTAAAATTAAGAAAATTTGAAAGATATCTGAAAGGAATAAGAAAAGAAAATAAATAAAATGATATATAGTAAGAATTTATTAGGTAGGAGTGGAATTGTGATAGCTACACCTATCACTGTTGACTTATAAGACAAGAGACACAGACGTTGGCCCCAACAATTAGTCCTTGCATTTCCATGTTCCTAAACAGTCACTTATCTTTGCTTTCATTCCTTCCCTCTTTCCCACCTCATTTCACTTTCTTGCCATTCTTCTACGCACTAACACATATTTGTAAAATTCGGACCATTTCAACCAATTCAACTGTAATTTTTTTTGGCTTTCTTTCATTTCTCTCTCTCGGAGATCCCACATTAACTAAAACAGATTGACATTTTTCTAAAAAATTTCACTAGACTTACATTCAAACTGAAACCCTCTGGTGGAGCATCAAACCATGGGTCATCAGATTCAAAGAAATCAATGTCCGAAATTCCAGGCTTTCTTGGCCATTTCAGAGTAACCGAATCATTTTGTAGCATAGCAGCATCTCCATAGTACCTTCCTCTACAGCATCATGTGGCAGAGGCAATATAATAATTCCAGCTTCAGAAACTACACAAGATTCATTGATAGATGAAAAACCCTTTGGAAACCAATTAATATTTAAATAGAGAACTCCTAAAAGAAGCACTCATTACCAGCATCAGTGACATCTGAGTCTCCAGATGCAACTGCTTCTGATGCTTGGCTTAATTGCAATTGTACAAGCTTCTGCTGATGCTTGACGTGGCATATCCTCATCATCAGCAATATCTACGTTACCTCGTGATTCATATTCTTTTCTAATATCTCCAAATTCTTCAACCTCACAAAGATCATTATTCCCAGCACCATTGATTTTCTTATCCGCCCAAGTAACAGTACGGCTAGGTTCTTTTCACCAGCAGATTTAAGGGAGATTTGAGTTTAGTCTCACACGATCTACCCACTTTTTCTACCTGGAATTTCTCTTTAACATTGTCACGATCAAAATTGGAAGTGGAAGCACCACCATTAGCAGTAACTCTACTTGTCTCCCCTTCACATTGCATTTATTTCCTTGTGGAATTATTGTTTTCCTCATCATATGGTCTTTCTGATATGGAAACAGAATGTGCATCTTTCTTTTTAATAGCTAGATTGGAAGAGGATTTGACCACTGCTTCATATGATTTGGATACTTCCTTCTCTTTTTCTGAGGTACTTAATTTAACGCTCTTAAAAGATGAAGACAGATCTTGAATGCTCTCCTCATCTTTCCTGACCATTTTAAGGCCAACCTTTTCTGGTTGCCTGTCTACAGCTGTTGTGTCTGTTTGACCTGGGGATGCTTTTGAAACACTATACCCATCTTATTTTTCTTCACCAGAATTTTCCCATTTTGTTCCAGCTTTTTCTCTCACTTTTCAATGATTCACAAACTGTTTCAGCCATCAACTCAGTCACATGCCTCTTTTTCAATGATACCCCCACACTTGAACTCAACAATGTCCGATAACACACAGCCTACTTTACCTCACAGCTCTAGGACAGGGTATAATCTGGTTTTACAGGTCCAAGGTTGACAATGGACATAAAAATCTGAATAAAAGGCTAAAAACAGGGTCAAAAATAGGTGCTAGGGAAAATTTTCCAAGGTAGCCTATATTTGGCAAGTGCCTTAATTCAAGGAGGGCCTAGATCACATTAAGAATGCACATCAAATGATCAGTTATGAAGAGAAATAATGCAAAGCGTAGAATGTCATTTTCATGAATGCACACACAAGAAAAACTCAAGTTCAAATCTCTCAAGGTTCACTTTTGTCAAAACTGTTCTTTGCAAATGATTCATCATGTAAAAATCACTTAATTCAATGTATGGAACTGTACAAACATGACTAAAAATTATCCACTCAAATTAGACACTCTATCTATCATCTACAAATTAAGAGCTAAGCTAGCAAAATGAGAAATGTGCAAATCTGGAAAAATTAGTAAAAACAGAGGTAAAATGTATTCAAGCAACTTTAAAATGACTAAAGAAAGCTAGAAATCAACTCAAAAATTAAATTCTACAATAAACTCAAAATTTCACTACTCAACCTACAAAAACACTCTAAAACTAGGCTAAACAAGCTAAAAGTAAGAACAGAACTAAAACAGAAAGAATACCAGTAAAGAAACTACCTAAGCAAGTCTTAAATGACTAAAGAAAACTAAAGAACACTTCATGACATCAATTCCATTTGAACCGCACACACAAACAGAATTCCAAGCATTTTACACAGATTCATGTTCATGACTATCTAAGAATTATAGTCTTGTTCTTTGATTTGGACCTTGTAAATACCGAGTTTAACATAAGTGAATTAGCTGATAGAATCATTTTCACTATAATAGTCATGCAGACCTGTGCTTGAGTGTGCATACTTTGGGTAGAAAATGAAGATAATAACATCCTTTTGTCAAAATTGAATATATGATGAACGATTTCCAGTTTTATAAATTCAAACAAAAGTTGCACCGGAAGACTTTTCAGACATATTATAAGAGAAGTGAAATAGAAACAAAATGACAAAGGGTTAAGGCCACAAACTTAGCAGAAAAACAGATGCGGAAGGACTGGCAATGGGTTATTCAACTCTTTCTCTTGCGTGATAGGAGTGTAATAGGTGAGAAATAGTAGCCTTTAAATTTCCTGATCAGAAGGGGGGAATTTGTGTTGAGTATGTCTTAAGCAATAACAATTGCTTTTAACTCCCACTTTCAGCTCTTTTTCACTCAATTTGCATTAAAACAGACATTATGGATGAGATGATGGCCATTATCATTTCTTTTCAATTTACCAACTTTTGGTAGGCACAAGCATTATATCCCACGTAACAATTATTCCTTTCAAATATCATTCATCTTCTACAAAGTGTATCCCAATGAATCAAGCAAAAGAAAACGTTGATATTACCTATATCAAAGCTTCTTTATGACTTCATCAATTACACGACTATAGTAAGTCATTCTCCTGATTGCCAATTTTGCTTCCTCAAAATTCTGGTTTTGAAAAGCATGACCTAAGGTATTAGAGCAATTTTGCAGCTTCTCCTGCATCTGGATGACCAATCAAAGGATGACATCAAGAAACAACATGAAGGTAAAAATAATTCAAAATCTACACTAGAACCAATTATGCATTCTCTTAGCAGCATTCAGCCTTGTTGGAGATTTCATGCATACCTGGGATAGAATGCGATTCAAAGCGTCCCCATTTGTAGCTTCTTCAACTGCTTCCCTGATTTCAAGAATCTGTAGTAAAATTTAGCAATAAATTTTGAAGCCGGATTTTCCTTTAGAAGAAGATGGAAAGATGAGATAAAAGATATTCAATAATTTATACTACTAATCTCACCATACAAATTTCAGAATTCAATTTAAGTTCTGGAAAAACAGAAGCTGAGATATTCCACAGAAAGAACTTAAAAACAATAGCGCGCAGAACAAGCAAGAAAAGAAGAAAACATTTTCCAAGTGATAAAATGCTTATTTCATCCCCTTGAACGTATGCCTAACTGAATTGCACATTTTACACATAAAATTTATGTTATTCTCTTTATAAAGTAAGTCAGTCTTCCAAAAATCGGCACAATCAAGTCCTAAATGGAAATGGGATTCCAAATTCTGAAGAGAAATAACTAAACTAGCCATCAATGACAACACAATTGCCAAACTTCCCATTTACAGATAATGGTCACCAAATGAACCTTGAGTGTGAGAGGTGATTTAACTTCAAAGAGGATAACTATCCACCCATTTTCCAAAGAAATAGCTTCACTTATATTTTAAGTATCATGGAAAGGAATTTAAAAGAAAATTTCACATTGAAAAGCAATAAGGTTCTTTTGTTACCTCTGCCAGTAGTTCTGGATCTGATATTGTCTGCTCTTCATCGATTTCTACTCCATTAAGCTTCAGCTGAAAAGAAATGGCACAGCCTTACATGGTAACACCAACAGAGAAACAATTGAAATTGAACAATATATAACTAACTACATCGATGGAAAGCATAGTTAGATGGCATGTTTGATGTATATGCCCCAATTCAGATAATTTGTTACTGTAATGAAGCATCATCAATTTTGAATCTTTGATGGAAGTATTCTTACCAAGTAAATTCCTCTTGACAAAGGCTTGCTAAGTGTACGGTACGCATCAATAACCCTTGCAGATTGTTCAGCAGCAAAATCTCTTTCTTTCTAACCAATTGAAGGAAAACAAAATCTTTTAGTTTCTCCAAAACCTCATTCAACCTCACTGCCTTCCCCCATCCCCTTAAAACAAAAAGAGTAGAAAGAAAAATCAAATAGAAAAACAAGAACTTAAAATAAGAGAAAAGGATGTCCCATAATACCAACCTGAGATTTTGAATGAACTAAATCAGGATGCAGCTTCTTTTGCCACTCTTTGTACTTGAACTCCAAATTCTCACCTTCTTGATCATACTTCCTCTCCCTGTTTAAAATTTAAAAAAAAAAAAAAAGTAAAAAGGATTTTTAACTTCTTAGCTCATCTATAAATTTATAGACAATAATGCATCCATTAAATAAATATATTTTTCTTCCTTCATCCCAAAAACTAAAGCACGCACATTCATAATCCAGCAATGAAACTCCAAAACTTAACTAAGACACGAATATACATTTTATGCTGCAAGAAAATGGATTAAGCAATGAAATACGCTAAAAAACACACACGGACAATTAATTTCCTGGAATACTAAAGTTTAACTTTTCCTAATTCAGTGTCTCAAAACAGACTGAGGCAACCATATCCCTGGGCATACTTGTTGCTTTCCATTGCAATTGACCAACCAAGGTGAAAACCCAATAAGTTGTCATAAGAAGAAAACTTACATACGCAATTGATTTTTTTTTCTTAGTATTCTTCTAACAGAATTGAAATTTCACCTCCATGTGCTGTGTTAATATTTAATGCAAACTTTCATTACATAAATTATCAAAATAAAACTCCAATTCGATCGGAGAATGGTATCAGTAGAACAGAAAAGCACCAAAAAACAAGGCGAAAACCAAATCAATTGTTAAGCAATTCCTTAATTTTTTATGCCAGAATTGGAATTTCACATCACTGAGCTATGCTAACCTTTATTCAAACTTCTACTACACAAATTATAAAAATAAAAAATAAAACTCTAACTCAGATGGGATAATGGTGTCAACAGAACTAAAAACACCGAACTCAAGAAGAAAACTTTGGAAGCAATTTCAGCACCCAGAAGAAAAAAACAAAGCCCCGGAAGCTTACACCCCAAATATCTCAAAATAGTCAGTGGAACAATCGACGGGTTGAATGCACCGACACGAGTCGCATACGAGGAAAGGTGCGGAATGAGGGGCAGCATGGCAATTCCAGCACCCACTTTGGATTTCCACGGCAGATTTAGAGCATAAACTTTTCGAGGAAAACCCGGGAGAACAGTTGAAATCGAAGGTGTGAGCGCGGGGAGGAGGATGGTGAGGTGATGCATGATGAAGAAGAGAGAGTTTAATGTGAGGAGGAAAATTGGAAGTGAAGTGCTGAGGAAATGAAGTTAAAGAGCGCCGCAAAAGAAAATAAAAGGGCTTGCAGAGGTTCTTCTTGGACATGGCGTGAGCACAGAGAGGAGATGCAGAAGGAAGGTATAATGTTCGGGGGAGTGAGAAGTGATTTGGGGAAATTGCAGGCGAGAATGATCCTCTCTTAATGGAGAAGATTTGAGGGGATGAAGAGTAAAATTAGAAAATGGCCCTTGTTACACTGTGCCTGTGCGAGAATGGGAGGTGAAAACCATTCTCCCCCATAACAATCGATTCTGCTGGTTCAGATATGATTGTGGATGCGTTTGGAAGAGGTGGTGGTGGCCGTAGTTGGTTTCGTCATTGGTGCTGCTCTGCTGTGGGGCTGTTATGCGTCGACGTTGGTGGTGAAGGTGCCCTCATGATGCGTTTGTGGTGGAGGTGCCTGCTGGTGCCCTATGTTGAGGGCCGAAGGAGAGGAAGAATACTTACGAGAAGAATAAACTGCTTAAAAATAATTATAACAATATAATACTAATAATAATATAATAATTATATATATATATATTCTTCATTACTATCTTTTAAATTAAATAATTACTTATAATAAAAATATTATTTTTCAGTTTCTTTATTTATAAAATTATTTTATTAATTAAATAATTACTCTTTATAAAAGAATTATTTTTTTTATCATTTTAATAACTATTCTTTTAAATTAAAATAATTATACATAATATTGCTTATAATATTTTTATTTTAATAATTAAAATTTATTTTATTTATAATTTTATCTATAACTATATAAATACTTTTTGTTTTTCCAATTTTACTATTTTAATTATTATTTTTAATTATTATTTTTAAAGTTTAAATAGTTTGTAAATGTTTAAAAATATACACAATATATTAGTTTAATAATAATATTACACTTAAATTTATATCTCATTTAATTTTTAAAAATAAAATGATAATTATTTAATTTTATTAATTAAAACATATCATTTTATACAAAATTTTAATCACAAATTCATCAAAATCACATCCATTTTCTTTATCCAAACAATCATACTTTCACTTTCAGTTCCTTTTCCTCTCCGATTCATCCAAATCACAATTTTCCTTATCCAAATCACTTTCATTTCCTTTTCCTCTCAAATTTATTCTCTCATATCTATCTTTCAATCAAAACACTTCCTAAAAGAAGAGTTTATTTATTTATGTTAGGAGAAAAAATAGGATGAAAAGTAAATTGTTAAATTAACTTTTTATTACAACTAAGGTGATTTTATTTTTCAATTTCATCTCATTATTTTAAATATTGTAGATTTGGTCTCACTTTAAAAAAAGATTTTTTTATCATATTAATGTTAACTAATTTATAATAACAATAAATAATATAATATATATGATAGAAAAAATGAATCATAAGAAACCGTACAACTTCATGTAGACAATAAGTGAGTATAAGTTTGTCCAAAATTTTAGTGCTACATGGCAGCACATTTTATTGCAGCACTGAAGAGAAAATATTGGATTAAAGGGGGAATATTGTGTAGTTATATAAAAGTATTGTTTTAAATATATTGTCATAAACGATTTCTTATGTTTTTTTTTTTTCTCATTTTGTTTGTATTGTTGTATTGGTTACGAGTTAGTGAAGTTACTACTGGTCTCTCTATCAATCTCTGTTTTCTTTATCAGTGTGTGTTTTCTTGCCATGGTCTCCAACTAGACAAAGCTAAACAAATGTCTTAATAAACAGTATATTAAATACAATATGTCTTATTATAAAACAACAAATGTGTTTACATGTATACCATTAAGTCTTAATTTCTCTCGAAAAAGTCTCACTAAACACTAGATTAATAAATATTATATTATATATTTAAATTGATAGAACCATATTATTAATACTGAACAAAATGTTTTAATTAGGGGTATTAAAAATAAAAAGTCGTAAATAGAGGAGTGGGAAATAAATTATCACAAATAAGCAAATTTGTGTGGATGAGCAATATGGTATAAGTACTTGATTTTTTTTTCAATTAGATTAAAAAAAAAGGAATGAGTATGTACATATCTCACGTTCTCGTTCTCATATATGTTATAATATTCATCTTCGTCCCAATTTCTATTTAAATTATTAAAATATTCATAATCTATTAAGTAATATATATATATAAAAAAAAAAGTAAAAAGGATTTTTAACTTCTTAGCTCATCTATAAATTTATAGACAATAATGCATCCATTAAATAAATATATTTTTCTTCCTTCATCCCAAAAACTAAAGCACGCACATTCATAATCCAGCAATGAAACTCCAAAACTTAACTAAGACACGAATATACATTTTATGCTGCAAGAAAATGGATTAAGCAATGAAATACGCTAAAAAACACACACGGACAATTAATTTCCTGGAATACTAAAGTTTAACTTTTCCTAATTCAGTGTCTCAAAACAGACTGAGGCAACCATATCCCTGGGCATACTTGTTGCTTTCCATTGCAATTGACCAACCAAGGTGAAAACCCAATAAGTTGTCATAAGAAGAAAACTTACATACGCAATTGATTTTTTTTTCTTAGTATTCTTCTAACAGAATTGAAATTTCACCTCCATGTGCTGTGTTAATATTTAATGCAAACTTTCATTACATAAATTATCAAAATAAAACTCCAATTCGATCGGAGAATGGTATCAGTAGAACAGAAAAGCATCAAAAAACAAGGCGAAAACCAAATCAATTGTTAAGCAATTCCTTAATTTTTTGTCAGAATTGGAATTTCACATCACTGAGCTATGCTAACCTTAATTCAAACTTCTACTACACAAATTATAAAAATAAAAAATAAAACTCTAACTCAGATGGGATAATGGTGTCAACAGAACTAAAAACACCGAACTCAAGAAGAAAACTTTGGAAGCAATTTCAGCACCCAGAAGAAAAAAACAAAGCCCCGGAAGCTTACACCCCAAATATCTCAAAATAGTCAGTGGAACAATCGACGGGTTGAATGCACCGACACGAGTCGCATACGAGGAAAGGTGCGGAATGAGGGGCAGCATGGCAATTCCAGCACCCACTTTGGATTTCCACGGCAGATTTAGAGCAGAAACTTTTCGAGGAAAACCCGGGAGAACAGTTGAAATCGAAGGTGTGAGCGCGGGGAGGAGGATGGTGAGGTGATGCATGATGAAGAAGAGAGAGTTTAATGTGAGGAGGAAAATTGGAAGTGAAGTGCTGAGGAAATGAAGTTAAAGAGCGCCGCAAAAGAAAATAAAAGGGCTTGCAGAGGTTCTTCTTGGACATGGCGTGAGCACAGAGAGGAGATGCAGAAGGAAGGTATAATGTTTGGGGGAGTGAGAAGTGATTTGGGGAAATTGCAGGCGAGAATGATCCTCTCTTAATGGAGAAGATTTGAGGGGATGAAGAGTAAAATTAGAAAATGGCCCTTGTTACACTGTGCCTGTGCGAGAATGGGAGGTGAAAACCATTCTCCCCCATAACAATCGATTCTGCTGGTTCAGATATGATTGTGGATGCGTTTGGAAGAGGTGGTGGTGGCCGTAGTTGGTTTCGTCATTGGTGCTGCTCTGCTGTGGGGCTGTTATGCGTCGACGTTGGTGGTGAAGGTGCCCTCATGATGCGTTTGTGGTGGAGGTGCCTGCTGGTGCCCTATGTTGAGGGCCGAAGGAGAGGAAGAATACTTACGAGAAGAATAAACTGCTTAAAAATAATTATAACAATATAATACTAATAATAATATAATAATTATATATATATATATTCTTCATTACTATCTTTTAAATTAAATAATTACTTATAATAAAAATATTATTTTTCAGTTTCTTTATTTATAAAATTATTTTATTAATTAAATAATTACTCTTTATAAAAGAATTATTTTTTTTATCATTTTAATAACTATTCTTTTAAATTAAAATAATTATACATAATATTGCTTATAATATTTTTATTTTAATAATTAAAATTTATTTTATTTATAATTTTATCTATAACTATATAAATACTTTTTGTTTTTCCAATTTTACTATTTTAATTATTATTTTTAATTATTATTTTTAAAGTTTAAATAGTTTGTAAATGTTTAAAAATATACACAATATATTAGTTTAATAATAATATTACACTTAAATTTATATCTCATTTAATTTTTAAAAATAAAATGATAATTATTTAATTTTATTAATTAAAACATATCATTTTATACAAAATTTTAATCACAAATTCATCAAAATCACATCCATTTTCTTTATCCAAACAATCATACTTTCACTTTCAGTTCCTTTTCCTCTCCGATTCATCCAAATCACAATTTTCCTTATCCAAATCACTTTCATTTCCTTTTCCTCTCAAATTTATTCTCTCATATCTATCTTTCAATCAAAACACTTCCTAAAAGAAGAGTTTATTTATTTATGTTAGGAGAAAAAATAGGATGAAAAGTAAATTGTTAAATTAACTTTTTATTACAACTAAGGTGATTTTATTTTTCAATTTCATCTCATTATTTTAAATATTGTAGATTTGGTCTCACTTTAAAAAAAGATTTTTTTATCATATTAATGTTAACTAATTTATAATAACAATAAATAATATAATATATATGATAGAAAAAATGAATCATAAGAAACCGTACAACTTCATGTAGACAATAAGTGAGTATAAGTTTGTCCAAAATTTTAGTGCTACATGGCAGCACATTTTATTGCAGCACTGAAGAGAAAATATTGGATTAAAGGGGGAATATTGTGTAGTTATATAAAAGTATTGTTTTAAATATATTGTCATAAACGATTTCTTATGTTTTTTTTTTTTCTCATTTTGTTTGTATTGTTGTATTGGTTACGAGTTAGTGAAGTTACTACTGGTCTCTCTATCAATCTCTGTTTTCTTTATCAGTGTGTGTTTTCTTGCCATGGTCTCCAACTAGACAAAGCTAAACAAATGTCTTAATAAACAGTATATTAAATACAATATGTCTTATTATAAAACAACAAATGTGTTTACATGTATACCATTAAGTCTTAATTTCTCTCGAAAAAGTCTCACTAAACACTAGATTAATAAATATTATATTATATATTTAAATTGATAGAACCATATTATTAATACTGAACAAAATGTTTTAATTAGGGGTATTAAAAATAAAAAGTCGTAAATAGAGGAGTGGGAAATAAATTATCACAAATAAGCAAATTTGTGTGGATGAGCAATATGGTATAAGTACTTGATTTTTTTTTCAATTAGATTAAAAAAAAAGGAATGAGTATGTACATATCTCACGTTCTCGTTCTC